AAGGACGGCTCCTTCTTCCATGTTCTAGATCTTGTTGTGCAACCCTAGAAACACTAAAATACACTTCTAAGTCAAGAATGCTCTAGTATACCTGACTTCTGCATTTCAAGTGTTATAGTGAAAAGCAAGTTTGAATTTAACTGAATTACCCCTGAGCTACTAAAGCCAGAGTAATAGAAAAAGCAATGGATCCCCTTCTCCAGTATTGCACCCAAACTGATGCACAAATGCTATAGCATCTATGCTCATCTTTCTCCAACCAATCTCTGCAGTAGTAAGATTAACTGATGGCTGTACCAATAAATAAATAGGCACACAATGTACAATTGACTGTCACAATGAGGGAGAAAAGATCAGCAAGTTGAAGAGATTGTTTGATATCAAAAACTGAGATTGGCAGCTAAGACATACTAAAGGGACTAGCAAGACGTTCCCATCCAAATGTACAGAATTGTTGGAGGCTACAGACAATGCGGTTACTATTGCCTGTTTTTGGTTAAAAGATATTTAGCCACTTGTGCCTTCTATTTTTCTAGTTTTATTCTAATTTATGCAATGCTTTTGATATGAAATAAATAAAAATAAATCCAAATGTATCCATACAACTCTGCAGACTACATTTTACCTTCATTTGAACTTTCATCTTGCCGTGTTGTTTCTCAGCCTGGTGCTCTATGGGTCAGAATTACACTTATAAATTGCCAGTGTGCCCTGTCTCTTTTCCAGTCATGCAGGCTCTCCAGTGTTGACAGGAGGAAAGGAAATCCACTTAAATCTCAAGAGTTTGCTTGATCCTTGAACCACACAAGAGAATGGTTAATGTTCCACTTTTCCCTGTTCATGATTGGCAGCTGCCTTAATGGCTAGGTTTTTCAGAGCTTTTATACCAAGTTTCTTCACCCCATAACACTGAAGCAAGAAACAAGCCAAGGCATGTGGTATGATTTTCCTGGCAGTGCTCTATGCAGTTTGTTCTATATTCCTCCTCAACTTATGTTTCTTCTTCTTTGCAATGGGAAGGATACTGTGGAGTTCCTCAGTACACTTAAGATCAAAATAATAAACAAGAGAACCAAGTTTCAAAGAGACTTTATTGGGAACCTGTCAAACAGGGTTGGGTCAGGCCAACCAGTCAGCCAATCTCAGTTTTCACTTTGAAAGGGAGCTGGCCTCTGAGATGGTATATAGCTGCAGTCACGTTTTCAAGATTCTCTGCAACACATGGTTTGAGAGCCTTGCGTGAACTGTGACACAGAAGTACTTTGCTTTGTGATTTCCAAAGAGCAAGGGTTTCTCAAGATAAAGACAGGAGGATCCGAATTAAAGAGTAAAATGTCATCATTCTGTCGTCCTTATGTTTGGATCTCTCACTGGGCATTGTTCATGAGAACCCTGTGAACCAGACTCCCAAATTGACAACTTCCACCATATGTCAGACAATACCTATCATACCTAGCCAGACATATTAAGGATGATGGGACCTGGCTTACATCGAATCTGAAAGGACCCAAGTTAATAACTGACATTATTAGCTTAATGATTAACATAATCCACAAATGTGTTTACAGTTACAAATATATATTCTGTATTTCTTCAATTCTAAGACTTTTTTCAATGTATAGATTAGAGGAGTGTTATTAAAAGAAGAAGTGTGGACATATAGTGTTCTCTAAAGGGAGTGGGGAGATAAGTAAAAACTAGCAGGCAATAATTATGAGGGTCGTAGAATATTTCTAGTAGTTGTGTGTCCAGAATGTGTTTATTAGCGTAGGTATGTTGTATGATAGGAAGATTATCTTAGGTATAATTATGTTAGTTGTTTAATTTAGTTTCATAAATTATGAAAATCTCTCTTAATTGAACTGTTTCTGTTCTCTTTATTCTTTATTTCTGAATAAAAAAAATAATTATAACAACTTTAAAAACAGGGTGTCTGAGAATCACAAGTGTGCTCTATCTATCTATCTATCTATCTATCTATCTATCTATCTATCTATCTATCTATCGTTCCCAACCCGTGGTACATGGACCACCAGTGGTACACAAGAACTAAAATATGGTCCCCAGCCTCACCATTACTATGCTGTTGAAACAAGAGTGACTGGTCTCGTGAAATCCTTATAGTTCCAAGGCTTATTAAATATGGTTTTCTGTGTGTGAGTACATGGTGACTGCTGGATGGCATATGCTCTGTATCAGAAACTAGAACTGATGTGGTCTATCCAATGCAATTTTATGAATCAACACCCCAAATAACCAAACCATATTTAAAGGTGACCAAAAACTGATTTATAACCCTTTTGGAAATAATGTTGGAGAGTGGTCCCTGGTCAAAAAAAGGTTGGGAACCACTGCTCACTCTCTCCCCCCCCCCCCCATATACACACATATAGAGGGGGGGGGAGCACTTGTGATTCTAAAATACTGTTTCTCTCTCTCTTTCTCTCTCTGTGTATATAGATATATATTGAGAAAGAGAACATTTTTGGTGGAAATTACTGCATTGTACAATCACTGGTGTCTTAAAATTGAAGAATTATGATATGTAACTAAGTAAGAAGGGACATTTCATTCTCTTCAGATTAAATCTCTAAAGCAAGAATTCTCTCAACTCTAAATGTTTGTTTCCAAAGGGCACTAAATCCAAAAATATTGAAAAATGAGCTATAGGTGGCAGCTAGGAGTAGAATATTATGTACAGACCAAAACTATCAAGATATATCAAATCACTTTGGTAGAGGGCTTGGAAAAAATGCATTTTATAGCAAAGGAATTAATCTCCTCAGCACATTCTTTTCTATTCCTGTAAAATTTGTTCAGATGGGTTTGGTACATTTTGGAAACAAGCTCTACAAAAGAAAACTACCTCATTCAGCTTAAAGATGAGTGAAGAGGAACTGCTTAATACCTTTCTTTTGCTGAGTATACAGAATTTTAAAACAACTTCCATTCCTCCCGTGGGGACAAGGCCTACAGCTTGTGTCTTTCATTACCTGTCCACTGCTTGAACCTGAGACTTTCTGTGTGCAGAGCAAATCCTCTGTTATGATCCCATGTTTTAAGAGGGGAAATGCAAGGGGCTTCCTTAAACCTTCCTCCTTTTGCCATATTCTCTACAAAATATTCACAGTGGAAATTTTGGCTTCAGAAATACTTTGTATTCTTGTGCTAAAAACACTCTCAGTAATAGAGCAAGTATTATCGAAGAGGAGGAAAGGGGAAAGAACTCTGTTTGGGATGCTAGAATGCTATTACCAGCCAACAATAGGTGGACAAATATTCAATAGATACAAGGTAATCTGCCTATGTTTCTATGCAGTCAGTCTCTTGCTTTTGATTTTTTTTTAAAAACCTACTGAATGTAATGCATGACTAAAAAAACATTTGAATAGGCAGTTTCAGTTACTACAGAGCTCTTAGGAACAACCAATATGGAAAATTACAAGTTAATGCACCTGACAGTTTTCCAGTCAAGAGGTTTGACCAGAAAGATCACCTAAAACAAAAAAGTAACCAAATATAAGCTACTGACCTAAATCACACAGGCATGTCAATCACTTGGAAACTGAAAGGTTGATGGTGGGTCATGAGAAATGCACAGGGCAGCAGGATATAGTTTAAATGCAATATCAATTCTTAACATAATAACAAAAAGTAGTAACCTTGTCAAAATATACACCACAAATCTCTACTTGCACAGTGGAATTCTCCATATTTGTACTCAGAGGTCCTGTGTGTTCAGCGAAGTCAACTTTCTGGCAAAATCTGAATATTCCTACAGACTATCCTCAAGGTTTCTATGGAATTACTCTTGTCATTTCCCCCCAACTTTCAAAAGATGACTGCTGTTTAAATATCTTTAACATATTTTAGTGACCTTTTCAGAATATATTTTTCAAGTTATACCTATTTTATATGTAATACTTCTCTATTACTGGCTTGAAATTTATTGACTAAATATATAATGAATATATATAACAACAACTTTATTTTTATACTCTGCCTCCATCTCCCTGAAGGGATTTGGGACAGCTTACATGTTTGACCTACTATACTTTTATTTCCAAAAATTGTAAGAATGATCCAGAATCAAAAGGCTTTCTTACATGTAAGTACCAGATAAAATTATTACACTAAAGACTCATATGTATTTCTGTAAGTTTTGGTTTTAGTCCATGGTTCAATTTGAGTATTGTACCTTAACTCTCATTTTTAAAGGAATTATCCCCTTCTCTGAGTAGAATGGCAACAGGCAAGATCTTATCCCAACCTGGACAAGCCTTAAAGAAGCGGCGATCCCCTCTGCTCTTTGCCGTAGTGCTACGTATGGCCTCTTTGAATGCCTGGCAGGGAAATGCCAGCAGCAGTGGCCAGGGATGGCTGGCTCCCTAGGATGGTATCGGTACCTCTCCATCCCCATGACCCTCAACTTATCCATGAATCATATCAAAAATCCACAATTTTGACCCCCAAACCTGCTCTTGATTTATACAGAAGCATGTAAGTTAATGAGCAAATTGCTCTGCATCTGAATAGCTATGTCGCAAGATTGCTGAACTACTAACACATAAGCAAAATCACTAAATTTGAGGTGGCTGTGAATTTTCATAATTAGGTTTGACTTAAAACAGTTTTTATTTAATTAGAATGAAAATAATCTTTAGCACAATTAATACTTTCATTGACAAATTCTTAATTCGATTCAGTCCTCATCTATATGCATGCAATGAATTACTCTAATTCAAGATAGTTCGTTTTATTGCTCAAATATTCCTATGTTGTTTAACACTATTTCCAAATGCTTCTGTATAGCTTTACAAGCTAAATTGGCATTCCAGAGAGCTGTCAGAACAAGTGTTTTCATTTTACGTTTGCTCCCATAAAGATATTAGCAATATTTATAATCCTCTTCTATTTAGAAAAAATATCACATATTTATTTCAAAAGTAGTACTCCATAACAAAACTTAAAGCATTACAATAGAAAAGATGCTTACTTACCTTCATCTTCATCACGAAAAAATAACATTTCTGAAGCCTTCAGTAAGGGGACTTCAGACTGAAGTTTCCATCTACCTCACAATCAGATAAAGCATGCTTAGCCCTAGCAGCAAATGGAAACAATGCTGAAAAGCAATTATTACAAATTTCCATGTGCTTACACTTAAAGGCTTTTAATGGGAGAGAGGAAAGAGATGGACTCTGAAAACACTGGTGAAGTATTTGCACTGCAATTAAACTGATGAGACTATCACCTTGTAATCAGGAACATGTGACTTGATCTGGTTTCCAGTTTATATACCACATTAGGGGAATGATTAACATTCATAATGTGACGTTTAAAAGTCCCAGCGACTTGGTTCAGAATAAAAGCTTTCCAATGAAAAGATTCAAATTCGAATAGTTTACTAGATTTCTTTACTGCCACTTGAAGTGTACTGTGTCAAGACAACCACCTTAGACTGCAAGTGACAATCTGGATGGTACTAAATCTTGTTTTATAGAACATGTGTGTGTGTGTGTGTGTGTGTGGTGGAGGCTCCTTCTTTAGGAGCTTTTAAACAGAGATGGGATGGCCATCTGTCTGGGGTGCTTTGAATGCAATTTTCCTGCTTCTTGGCAGGGGGTTGGACTGGATGGTCAACGAGGTCTCTGTGTATGCCTTCAGGTTACCTGTCAACCTATGGTGACCCCATACATTTCACAGGATTTTCTTAGCTGTACAATATTCAGAGATGGATTTGCCCCTTTCTTCCTCTGAAATATAGCCTACATCTATATTTCTTGGTAGTCTCCTATCCAAGTATTCACTAGGACTGATCCAGCTTAGCTTCCAAACCAGACAGGATCTCTGGCTTTTAGGGTATTTGGGGCTTTATATTTGCTCTATCTATATATAGATGGGAGACTGCGAGACATTTGTGGGATTAACCACAAAATAAGTGGTAACCATTATATTCAGAATATTGTTTGTTGTAGGCAAAGGTGTTCTTTAAATTCAGGTTAAACATTGAACTACCAAGTTTAGTTTGCCAGATTACCCTGGATGAAAATCCAGGGAGCACAGAAAAGAAAATTCCATGCCCCAAATACAGTGCATGCATTGCATTGATTCTAACTAGAAAATGTGTCAAATCATATATTCCAACTCAAGCTCTTGCTCATGATAGAAACATTTTATCCATATTAAAAATGTGACATTATTAACTAGTAATTCTTTCTACAAACATAACTTCTCTAATCTGTTTTGTCACTTCTATATTCTTTTATTTCCTTCTAAGATTTCGTTATACTTTTTTGATATGTGATTCACAATATGGATCTAATGCAGGAAAAAGAGCAACATTTAAGATTCTCCAGAGATCCAAGGATAATCTTCCCATACTCCTGACTGAACATCTGGAAGACGATGGAAAACAATTGGAAGAGACGGAGTGTATTTCCTTCCAAACACTTCAATACAGGAATGAAAATGAAATATTTCTATATATTTTCTTCTTAAATGCTAAAGAAGGAATATGCATATGCCACACCTGATGGGGTTGTAACCCTAAATCCTAGGAGCAAGCATCACAGAACTCATACCATCAATGTTATGAGTATGAACTCACTAGGCTTGTTTTGAGAAGATGTATCACAACGAACCTCTCTGTGTTATGAGTACACCTAGTATATTATCTGGATAAAAAGAAAGGGTCAAGTATGAACTTCTAAATAATGGAAAAGTAATTAAAAACAGTTCACATCCACAATTACACACGAGTCTATCTTTTCTTTCATAGAGGAACATTATATGTATACAAACATATTCAGTCAAATGTGAACCCAAGTGCTGGAAATAGCACCCCTGTGTTTATTGACAAAGCATCCAGGTGCACAATGAAAATGAGATTGCCACTAGGAAGATTACTACACATTGAATAAAAATAGGATTTTTCTCCCACCATTTAAAGGTTTTTATAAAATATGGAAAAGTTATAATATAGAAATGCTCATTATTTGATTGAAAAAGAAATAACTGTCTGAAGTATAAAGACACAGTTATTGATTTCAGTAAGTCACATTGATGCAATGTTAAAGGACATTTATACTAATGTCAATGTAAAAATATAACACAAGCTACAAAAAACTATGAACAGGGCTGGAAATCTTCAGGACCACAATTTTCCTCAATTAGCAAAAAAAAATGTGCTCAATGGTTTTTATTGCTCTTGATAGTTCCTTTCCCTATCCATTAGGTTATATGTATTTGTTAAACCAAAGTATTCTGAACTCTTAACATCAGTTATAAACTCCCAATTAAAGATATAATGAAGTTACCTTCAGCAAGTATATGAAAACTGTGATAATTACTGGCAGAAAATGACTGCCACAATAATATTCATTCTGTGTAGAAGTGTGCATTTTTATTGTTGATGTTGTTTCTAGTTTGGTTGTTCTAACAAAGACAACACAAATCTCTTTGATGCCATATCAGTTGGCTACACATTAAAACACCCTTCTGAAGCACTTTCTGTTGTTCAACTTCACTTTACTGGTTATGAAGTAGTCTTTTTGTAAATACCAGTTTTCAAATATTTCTTTAAATCTCTGAGCCTTGCATTCCCTTCATAAAGCTTCCATAAGCAGTCTTTTGATGAATTCTACTACAGTTCCTTCCTTTCAAGAACAGTTATTCTTCCTTCAAAGTCTGCTTTCTCCTTCAAAGTTTTACCTCTGCTTACTTTTCCAAGCAAAACCAAAACAGAATAGATTCTTTTCTGCATTGCAGATTTGCAAAAATAATATTTTTTAGGTTTCCATTTCCGACAGGCCAATGCTGCTGGAGTCTCTGTCAGCTACTGCACTCTCATTTTCTAAATCCAGAATATCAGACAGATTGATGGTGGGTAAAGGAGATCTCCAGTATTGGAAAGAATTGTAGTGCCAAACATCATCTTCATTCTATGAAAATAAAATAAACAGGTATCACTGCAGCAATAATTAAATAACAACAAAAATATCTGCAGATAAAAACCTACATATCAAGAATAAAACCCATACATTTATGGGATCATACAGTTTAAAGAAAACAAGAGGCTGTACTCAAAGAAACAATTTATATAATGGAAATAGGACCACAAATGCAGTAAAAGATTTTTCTAGTTATCCTTATTGCAGAGGTCTGTACTGCTATGAAAAGAAGTCGTTTTATTTTTCAGCGAAATAGGGGCAGATGTATTCACACCTGGACTTCCATATCCTTTACTGGATTATAGTCTGCTACATTACGTGCTGGGGGGAGGAGTCTCCTCTAGCATTAAGTGTAACTGATGTCATAATACAGTTGTGTTACATTGGAATAGCAGTAAGCAATCACTAGTTAAAACACCAACATCACAGGGGCTCTACTAGTCAGTTTATTACATTTCTTTCTGGTTTCCAGCTACTCCATTCCAATAACTTCAAATGTTTATCTACTTGACCTGGCCTTAAGCAACATCTTTCTCTCCTGTCTTTGTCCCCCAACAAACATTAAAATTGAACTTCTTACTTCATCACCATATCCACAAATTTTGCCTTTCTACGTCTATTTACACATAAACTTTGCCTATAAAAGCCTGTTCTCGGACACTTTACTCCATGCAACTGAAGGAACAGGCTATGTCTTAGAAAACTTACGCTACCAACTTCTTTCTTTTAGCTAGTTTCAAAGTGCAACAGGATCTTGAATATAGTTTAGCTTGTACTCCCTCTACTGGATTAACTAATGCACAAAAATGATATTCTGTGAAATCAATACTCTGAAAAATAAAACAAGAATTTAGAATCTATCGGCTTTGGCTGGTTTTGTGACTGTCAGAACCATGCTCTCCCATTACAGGGCAGATGTTGCAGCTGATTCTGGCAGCACCTCTCAAATATTGAATTTTAACCCTGTGAAAGGCAAAACACTGGTCGGAATTAAAGTGAGGATAAGGCTAACCTTAGTTCTCTCTCTGCTAAGTACTTGGAATACAAAAGAAAAGCAGGAAAGCACTATTCACAGAAAAAAGGAAAGGAAAATTCCTCACGCAGAATTAAGTTGCAAAGTGCAAATACCAGGCTGAAAAGACTGTTCATTTTAAAAGTCTGAAATATGCTGTTCTGCTAAAATCAGAACAACCAGAGCTATCATTCTCCACTTCTTCTTTTGGAGCAATGTTTCTCAACCTGTGGGTCCCCAGATGCTTTGATCTTCAACTCCCAGAAATCCTAACAGCTGGTAAACTGGCTGGGATTTCTGGGAGTTGTAGGCCAAAACACTTGGGGACCTACAGGTTGAGAACCACTGTCCTAGACTTTTAGCATTGTCAACTAAACAAAGACAAGCTCAACGCATTATTTATTTTGTTTAATTTTATTTATTCATTTATTGCTTCTTTCTCCCATCCCAAGCTGGACAAATGAAGCAAAGACACAGTGGCTGGATATTCAAAGACTTGAGAATGTGGCAAGTACATCCACAAACTCACTTGTCTTGGTCTGCTTCCTCCAGTTCAGACCAGAAGTAGAAATGGAAACATTTTGCCTTGTTTTGCCTCTAGCGTTTGATGTTTTCAAATGCCCAGTGAACATAAAAATAAACATATCAAAACCATGTGTTTTCTACCTGAAAGACAGAAAGTGAAAGCAAAGACTCGCTTTGTCCCAACACCTGCGCTCAGGATGAACAAAAATAGTTCTTAGTCCTTAGGATAGCGAGTTGTTGTTGTTATTAATTGAGTGAAAAAGGGGAGCCAGGAAGACAGAGTGCCATCACTCCCCAGAGTGTGGTGGAGGCTCCTTCTTTGGAAGCTTTTAAACAGAGGCTGGATGGCCATCTGTTAGGGGTGATTTGAATGCAATATTCCTGCTTCTTGGCAGGGGGTAGGACTGGATGGCCCATGAGGTCTCTTCCAACTCTTTGAATCTATTATTCTATGTCTCCTGGGTCATCAGTTGGGAGCCTCTATTATATATACAGTAATATAAAATACTAATATTGTGCTGTGCTAATATAATATATATATATTATATTATATATATAATATAATATATTGCATACACATATAATAGTGATAATATAATGTAATACAATATAATACTAATAAAAATACAATATAATAATGTTATATTTCATATTACATGTAATATTACTAATATTACAGTATAGTGATATAGTACAATATAGTAATATATAATACTTATATTGCTCTATGCTAATAATATATTGGCTACACATATATAATACTAATATTGCTCTATGCTAATAATATATTGGCTATACATATTGATATTATAGAATCAAAGAATCAAAGAGTTGGAAGAGACCTCATGGGCCATCCAGTCCAACCCC